TTTCCCATCCTATAGGCTGTTATTTTGTCTTATTGACTGTGTCCTTTGCTTTACAGAAGCTTTTCAGTTTCAGGAGGTCCCATTTATTGTTTCTCTCAGTGTCTGTACTGCTGGGGTTATATTTAGAAAGTGGTCTCCTGTGCCAATGCGTTCAAGTGTACTTCTCACTTTCTCTTCTATAAGGTTCAGTGTGGCTGGCTTTATGTTGAGGTCTTTGATCCATTTGGACTTGAGTTTTGTGCATGGTGATAGCTATGGGTCTATTTTCATTCTTCTACATGTTGATATCCAGTTATGCCAGCACCACTTGTTAAATATGCTTTCTTTTTTCCATTTGATATTCTTTGCTTGTTTGTCAAAAGTCAGGTGTTCGAAAGAGTGTGGATTAATATCCAGGTCTTTGATTTGGTTCCATTGGCCCACCTTTCTGTTCTTATACCAATACTGGGCTGTTTTAAGTACTGTAGCTCTGTAGTAGAGTTTGAAGTCAGGGATTGTGATGCCTCCAGAAGTTCTTTTATTGTACAATATTGTTTTGGCTATCTTGGGTTTTTGCTTTTCCATATGAAGTTGAGTACTGTTCTTTCGAGGTCTGTGAAGGATTTTGCTGGGATTTTGCTAAGCATTGCATTGAATCTGTAGATTGCTTTTGGTAAGATTGCCATTTTTCTATGTAAATTCTGCCTACCCAAGAGCATGGGAGATCTTTCCACTTCTGATGTCTTCAATTTCTTTCTTTAAAGATTTAACGTTTTTGTCATACAAGTCCTCCACTTGTTTGATTAGAATTACTCCAAGATATTTTATGCTATTGTAGCTATTGTGAAGGGTGATGTTTCTCTGATTTCTTTCTCAGCCCTTTTACCATCTATGTAAAGGAGGGCTACTGATTTTTTTTTTTTGAGTTTATCTTGTATCCTGCTACATTACTGAAAGTGTTTATGAGTTGTAGAAGTACTTGGTAGAATTTTTGGGGTCGCTTATGTAAACTATCATATCATCAGCGAACAATAAGAGTTTGACTTCTTCTTTTCCAATTTGTATCCCCTTGATCTCCTTTTGGTGTCTTATTGCTCTATCTAGGACCTCAAGAACTATATTGACTAGATATGGGGAAAGTGGACAACCTTGTCTTGTTCCCGATTTCAGTGGAATCGCTGGGAGTTTCTCTCCATTTAGTTTGATGTTGGCTGTTGAAGCCAGGGCCTTTCTAAAGCAAGAAGCCAATGGCAGCTTCAGTCCTCTTCCCCAAATTTTTCACTGAGGAAGCACTCGATGCCTACCTCTTCCTAAAATGCCCCATACTGTCTTTAGCTTTTTGGCCTCCATACTTTGTCTTTCCCCTTTGTCTAGGACATTTTTCTTCCTGCTCAGCTTCATTCCATTCACCCGGCTGGCTCCTTTTCTCCCTCAGGCTCCTGTCTGAACCTTACCCCATTGGAGAAAACTCTGACTCGTCGATTCAGTTAATTGCTTCTATAGTCTGTTCTCAGAGCTGCCTGTATGTCCTTCATCATGGTGCTCCTATATGGCGGGGGCATGCTTCGAAACTCTTTCCCTGCTTGTCTTGCCTGTCCCCAGGGCTGGGTATTGGTTTGGTTGGCAGGGCACAGGCTAGATTATCATTATGAGCGCCACAGCGGCCTCCCCTGAGTGCAGGAGTAGATATGGGGTTTAACTACTGCCTGCCAAGTACTACTGCAAGTGCCAAGACCTTGAATGATGAATGAGATACGGCCTGGGACACGAAAGACAATGGTGGCAGGGTGAGAACAAGGTGTTTTCCTCAGTTGGCCTCATTCTTGAGGGAGGAATGGTGCTGGGAGGGACATCATGGAGCAAAGGCTCTTAACTATGACGGTGCTAGAAACAGAAGCCGAGTGACGCAGATCAGCTGGCATGTGGGTTTGCAAATATAGCCAGTGATTGGGTGTTTACTAAGCAGTTCCATTTGCGACTCATCCCTAGCTTTTCTCCCCTATTACTGACCAGCTAACTTAGAGTTCCTAAGGAAGTCAGGTTAAATCTGGAGGGTTGAACAATTATTCAGTCTGCAAACATCAACTACAGGGTTGCCAGCACGTCATACATGTAGGATATTATATATAACTTTTATATTGCTTTAGGTATTGACTTTCTTAGAACACATATTCTGTATTTTACCCCTTGACCCCCTAACCCTCCACCCACAAGATCATAACTCAGCTGTTAGAATTATTTGTTCAATTGATCTTGAGCCCCTATCCTTTTTATTTGCTAAATTATGTACTAAATTTGGTGGTTCCATTGAAATGATATTCACAACCCTTACCCCCTGCCTTGTTTATCTTGTACTGTACAGTACCTGTACTAAGGCAAGAGGGCACTCAACCCCAGTGGTCATTTCCTGTATCGGGAATGTCTCCACTTTGGCCTGCCACCTCTATATCACTTATTGAGACTTTATTGAATGGTGTAATCTAGTCCTTTTTCATTAGGGAGTTCAAATATAAAGTTTATTTTATTGGTGGCCACCTTGTCTCATAGACTCCTGAAAAGCTTCCTGCTAATTAAAATCAACAGGGTGCTGGCGACTTGAATCTGAAGCAACCCCCTGGTTTGTGTCACTTGCTGATTTCTGTGATGGGCAGCTGTGGCCAACTTCAAGCTACCAAAGAGATGTTGTGGAAGTCAGTGCCAGGAAGAATCACAGAGATTTCACCCTTGAATCTACATGGGATGCTGCCACACGGTAGCCACTGGATTTTCTTATGGTTAAAATGCCCTGTGGCTCACTCCTATTTCTCTTCCCTGGGGTATGGAATGGCCCAGGGTGCTGTTGTGAGGGGGAGGGTCCAAAGACATGCTGCAGATAGGTGCAGAAAGAGGAGGAGACAAACTGGCTGGGGGATAAGGCACAGAGTGGGCTAAACGCGACTTCCAGGCTGCTGGCTATTGTGTCTCATCAAGATAAGAAGGGGGCTGAGGAGGAAAGATGACTAATTATACACCAGCGAGAAAACATTTATTGAGCACCAAACAATGCACCCTACCAGCTCTGAGGTACTGAGGACACAACAGATAAAATTCTTGCTTTGTGGAGCTGATATTTCTTACAAACTTATAATTATTATCTTATAATATATACATATATATATATACAATAAATATATAAGTTGCAAAACATGCCCTTGTTCTGAGTAGGACATACCATTTCTATACTACACTGTAAACTTTCTAAGGTCTAAGGATGTCTTCTTGTCAAGTTCTATCTTGAGCAGATGAGGTAGAGCTAGATAGACTGCTTACTCTTTATCTCAAGGAATTCAAACTATGTTTTTAATGTGAAAATGAATTTAAATCAGCTGAATAATCTTATATATAATACAGTCACTTCTGTTATATTAGAACAACCCTCCCCCAGGGAAAAAGCCCTTACATATGCCCGCAGGAATTGTATTCTAATGAAATATACACACACAAGTTTTTCAAAGTTCACTACAAAAGTGCTTCCTTTGGATGTCCTAATAATAAAGACTTTATTTGCCAGTTTTCACCTGCCTCACCACTGGAAGACATTCACAAAGTGTAGATGGTGCACGGCCCCAACAGCATGTATTTACATGGGGGAAAGTATCTTAAAACAACTTGTCAACCCATGTCTTGGGTTATTCATTCCATAAGCAACTTGAGAGAGGGTGGCCGTGATGTAGGTTCTGGCTTCCGGTGGGGGCCACCTCCAGCAGTCATCTTAACTTTATCCACCTTAGAAATAAATTCTGTTCTGCTGCGTGGCCAATCAAGACTCTAAAGAGCGTCCTCCAGACAACAACACCTTCTTGCATCAGGAGCAGTGGCGGTAGACCAAGTACTTCACTTAGGGCTTCGGAAGGTACCAGAATCAGAACCTAGAACATTCCATTTGTCCTCTGAGCAGATTTTGCAGCTACACTCAATGTTCTGATAAGTTTTGGACTTGGAGGCATCTAGAATATTCTCATTTTGTTTCAGTGGCATCTGTGTGTGCATGCATGTGTGCATGCATTCCTGGGTGCATGCGTGTGTGTCTGTGTGCGTGTCCTCATATCTCCTCTTATGAATCGGCTTTAGATTCTGCATCTCTTAGCGCTGGAGTATCGAGAGGCATTTGGCGAAGCGTCCTTACCTCTGAGGTGCTGCTTCTGAGTTTCTTGTTCTTGTCAGGTTTTTTTTTTTTTTTTTTTTTTTTTTTTTTTTTTTTTTTTTTTTTTTTTTTTTTTTTTTTTTTTTTTTTTTTATCGGCTACAAAGTGCCTTCCAGGAGCTGCTGTATGGATACCATATATGGAGCTTTCTGGAAAGTTTGGCTTTTAGTTTCTTTGAAAGGAGCATGAATGGACACAAAGAGGTTTTTATCTTTTAGTTCTGCTACTCAAAGTGTTTTAACATGCATATAAAATCCGATCATGCGAGGCCGGGTATGAAAAACTTCTCCAGGTGTCTCTCTTGTCTCATCATTTTGCCTTTCTTTGAGAGAAGGCAGTGACCGGTAAATGCCGTTGTCGGGTAAATTCGTCCTTTGTCCATTAGCCTAGGGTTGGTGTCTTCTTTTTCTTGTTTGTACACTAACTTGTGGGCTTTGTTTGAAACCTGTTTCACTTCAAACATTTTCAGTGCAGCCTTATTCGATCCTGCTCAAGCAGAACCTGGGAGCCCTTCAACAGGAGAGTTCTTGGGCTAATCACGGCGCCATGGCAGCCCCACAACCTTGACCTAGCTCTTATTCCCGATTATACTGGGACCTGGTTTTCTTTACAGCAACACTGAAAGAAAGACCAACCAAGTTAAGCATTGAGATAGAGAGGTAGGAGTTGCTCGAAGTGAGAGATTCCTAAAATATACAGTTATCAACCCAAACTCATTTCCATCCAAGCTGGGGAATAAATGGTCAAAGAACTTTCTGGAAACCCCGGTTGCTTGAGAAAGCACCCTGAACTTCTTGCTGAGCTCTGCAAGCTCACTAAGCCGAAGCGCCCTTAGTACCTTGGTGATTGCTTGTGCCCATACACTCCGTGGACCAGTCCTGGGGGATCACGGGATCCACTAGCTCTGTAAACTTCTCCAGAGGGCAGCTGTGGGTGCAGCCAGGCAGTGTGAGTGGGTAGAGCTCGTGCTGGGTCTCATTCCGATAGTACATCTCCACGAAGTGCCCCCTGGTGGACAGGCAGAGGACAGCACTGTTAGCTCCGCGATGCTAAACTGTCCCGTGAATTTCTTCCCACCCTACTGTCGCCCTTCCCTAAGGACCAGCGGAATGGGGAAGGCTGGTTTGTTAGGTAAGCCAGGCATGGAGAGTGGGGGACAACATCCTTCATCAGAGATCATTAGCAGAGCTGGGTGTGACTTTGAGTAAGAATGAAGATCTACTATTTTTTTTAAAGACGTTTTATTTTTATATGTATGTATGCCCATGAGTGTATGCCATGTGTTTTGTGGGTACCCACGGGGGAAAGAGGGCTCGGATCTCCTGGAGCTGGAATTATAGGCAGCTGTGGGCTGCCTGACGTGGGCGCTGAGACCCAAACTCGGGTCTTCTGTAAGAGCTGCACTACTCTTAACTGCAGAGACCTCTTGTTAGCTGGTTGTTGTTATTTTTTAATTGTATTTATTTTTTATGAGTACCCCTGGTTCCTATTGAAAACGGACACTTAATCCTTGGTGTAGCTTCCTTCACTTTTTACTGAGTGATTGGGCTGTCCTAATTTCTTAGCTCTCATATTAAACTGGCCACAGATAGGGTCCTAAGCAAAAAGTCAGAGGCTTCGTCTTAATACAGCGTTTCTCAACCTATGAGTTGAGACCCCCTTTGGGTGTCGAACAACCCCTTTCACAGGGGCCCCCAAGACCATCAGAAAACACAAATATTTCATTATAGCTTGTGACAGTAGAAAAATCACAGCTATGAAGTAGTAATGAAAATAATTTTATGGTTGGGGGCCAACATGACGTGAGGAACTATATTAAAGGGTCACAACATTAGGAAGGTTGAGAACCACTGCTCTAAGGGGACAAGGTCGGCCCAGGGGATAAGGAAGGAGAGGTGTGTCCATCTCTCTTGTTCCCATTTGATCTCTGGGTGAGGAGGCTTTTGATCTTTGTAAACAGGGAAAATTTTGTTTACCAGTTTCCTGTTAATGGCAAATATAGAAGTGGATAAAGTCTTACTGATTTCTAGAGGGGTCGGGAAATGTGGGGTCTACTAGGTGCGGGGTCTCCCTTCTGGTCTGGCCCTTCAATGCTTCTCGTTCGCTCCTTTCTTTTTCCTCTGCTCTCAGGTATTCTTTCGGGCTTTGTCTTATTGGAAGAGCATTTCTTGTTCCGGGCCTCTTACTGCCATGCTCTGATTTGCTTGCTAGTTTCCACTGTGAACTCTTGTCTCCATTGATATTAGGTGTTTGAAAACAAGGGTAGCCAAGTTGACATTTTAGGTTCACTTTTTCATGACTGGTGCTCAGTTAGAGGTTCAGGAAAGAGTGTCTACCTTCTCCTGACTGTGCAGGGCCCACTCTCTTTGTGAGCAATGAAGGCATGGAGGATGAAGTATTGGTGCTGTTATCCTTTCTTATAGTGGCTCCCTGCTAAGAGACTCTGAACAGCCCGCAAATATATCACGAGAGGTCCATGGGCCAATCACAGCATATGATATGCAGATGAAGGCTTGGATTTGCACCAATCAGAGCACAAACCTCATGTAAAAATGAGAGTTTAGCTGGGTAGTGGTAGCACATGCCTTTAATCTCAGCATTTGGGAGGCAGAGATAGATGGACTTCTGTGAGTTCGAAGCTAGCCTGGTCTACAGAGCCAGTTCCAGGACAGCCTTCAAAGCTACAGAGAAACCCTGTCTTGAAACAACAACAAATGAGCGTACGTGTTTCATCAGCTAGTTTTGCCCTGCCAGCACCAGTTAGAACAGTCACTCTGCCACGCCACCAGCGGAAGTGCTCTGCCGTTGACCTAGTTTGGAATAGTTACAGAGCCATCTAGAGTTCACCAAGCCTTGTGTTAGCAAAATGTCTGATATAGACTCTATGAAACAATCTTTGCTGGCACTGCACCTCCGGAGCATCGAAGGCGTTCATAGGATGTTATTCATAGGGTGTTCATACCGGCCCATACTGGCATAACGGTAGTCCAGCACGGTAGCTGTTTGACAGTTTTCTTGCTCAAGGCTGCCAGGGTAGCAAGGGAGAGTACAACAGCCACCAATTAAGGAGTTAAATTGCCCCATCCCTCAACATTTTGCCTAGTGGTGAATGAACATCAGAAGGAATGCTTACAGTGAGAAGCTAATAATAATAATATTTTTTTTTTTGGTTATTTGAGACAGGGTTTCTCTGTGGTTTTGGAGCCTGTCCTGGAACTAGCTCTTGTAGACCAGGCTGGCCTTGAACTCACAGAGATCTGCCTGCCTTTGCCTCCCAAGTGCTTGGATTAAAGGCGTGCGCCACCACCGCCCGGCACTAATAATAATTTCAACAGATTTTTAAACAAATGCTTATCAACATCTGTCCATTGCTCCACAGAGACCCTTGTGCCATTTTAAGAACTAGTTCCCGGGGCTGGAGAGATGGCTCAGAGGTTAAGAGCATCGCCTCCTATTCCAAAGGTCCTGAGTTCAATTCCCAGCAACCACATGGTGGCTCACAACCATCTATAATGGGGTCTGGTGCCCTCTTCTAGCCTGCAGGCATACACATGGACAGAATATTGTATACATAATAAATAAATATTTAAAAAAAAAAAAGAACTAGTTCTCTGCTTCCTGTTTGCGGAGTGAGATGTCAGCTCTCAGCTGCTGCTCCAGGTCCATGCCAGCCAGCCTGCCTGCTACGATGCTCTCTGCCATGACGGTGATGGACTCTTATCTCTCTGGCAATGTGGGCCTTCAATAAGCCCTTCCTTCTAGAAGTTTCCTTGGTCATGGTATTTTACCAAAGCAAAAATAAGGTAACTAATATATTTGTCTATATTTTTTTTCTGATTTTCCCAGAGATCTCCCACTTGAAAAGCAAAACTCTTCACCCCTGAAGACCTCCGGTTCCAGATAAACCAGACCATTTAAACCTCTGGCCTGATTTTCTTTGTCCTCTTTTTCTTTCAGGGGTCAAACTAGTCATCAGTGAGGGTCACACCAGGTCATATCGGGGTAAACACTGCTCAGCAGTTGACTTTAAGACACCGGATGCTGGATATGAGTCACCAGGAGCGGTGTGACAGGTTGGGCTGTTTAACTGAAAGATATTTTACATAAGCATCAGGCTTCCTTATTTCCCTCTTGGTGTCTTGTACCAGAGAGTTTTTTCCCCAAGGAAAAAAAAATGTAATGTCTGCCTTCTTTTTTTACTGCCTTCATTAAAAAAAATGTCATTTCCTCTACTTTGGATGGTTCTCCCAATCATTCTAATACGTGCACAATATTTCCCAATAAAAGGCTCATGCAATAGAAAGAGCCAAAGCCCTGTTATCCCCAACCCTTCCCTCTGACTATGAAACCAAACGGAGGCTGACACAGTGGGCATGAAGCCAACAACAACAACAAATAGCAGGCTGACATAGTAGCCCATTGCAGCAGCTCCAGCGCCTGGGAGCGGGATCAAGACCAGCTTCTGTTATAAAGCGAGTGCAAGACTGACCCCATGCACATAATAAAACTCTGTCTAAACAAACAAATCAGACTCCCAGCTGAGGAGCTATCGAGGGCTGGTCAGAAGAGGAATAGCTGGCTTACTTTAGAGGGTCCTGGAAGGTTGGCCATTCTCCACGAATATATGAGCATCACAAATTGGACTTAGTAGGGTAACATATAAAGGACATGGAGTTGGGAAAGTGTGTGGGGGATGGGGTGGAGGGGGTGGTGAGTGAGGAGGATCCAGGAGTGGTTCAGGGAAGGATGGAGGTGAATATGTTTAAAATACATTAAATGTATGCATGGATTCTCAAAGAATTAATAAATTTTAAAAAATCTCTATGAGTTTCAGGCAGCCTGGTTTGCATAATGAGTTCCACAGCATCCAAGGCTACTTAGTAGGATCCTGTCTCAAACACAAACCAACAAGCCCAAAGTAGTAACATCAGAGCAGCCGCTTACCCCTTTTCTTGGTACAATTCCATGATGTGGCAAGACGCATAGGGAGGTAGAAGTCCATTATAAACATCTAGCGCCATCTGCAGGCCACTCACAGTAGTGTCGTGCTACGGAGATAGGAAACGAATCATTTTGTTGTTTGCTTCACAGGTAACAAACTTCAGCAAGTGTAAGATACAGCGGTGGTTCCTGATCCCTCCATATTCTCACTGACTTAATATGTAAGAAGAGGAACATGTTTCTCTGGTGTGTCTGGGCAGTAAGATTTACTCATAGATTGTTTTCATCTAAAAGATGAAGAAATTGATATCCAAGAAATTAGGTACCCTGCTTAATTTCATATAGTCATCAAATAGGATAAATGTGAAGCAAATCTCCTGATGTTAAGTCCCATGCCCATAGTGGGCCTCCTTCCCTTCTGCATGCTATACTGGTTTTCAACACATTTAAAAAATTCTGGAACACATGAATGCTAAGTTGCATTTCCCACAGATTTGCAACATCTTTGATTTTTAAAGTTATAGGAGAGTATCTGATGCCAAGGATGTTTAGGGAGGTTAAAGATGTAAGGGAGTGGGGAGTGTAAGATTAAAATATTAAACGATTAATGTAGTAGTTCTTTACCTCAGAGTGGTTTTTAATCCCCCTCTTGGCATGGATAAACTGTTTAATCTCCATTTGTATAAAATGGGAGGACATTTGACTGCCTGGGGCTGGGGCTATACCTCAGTTGGTAGAGAGCACAAACCCCTGGGTTCAATACCATGTACTGGGGAAAACACACACACACACACACACACATGCACGCACACACACAGGTATTTGTTGCATATATCTGGATGCCTAAACTGAATGACAGGGCACACGTATTCAAAAGAAGTTAGAGTTCAATTCCCAGCAACCACATGGTGGCTCACAACCATCTGTAAAGAGGTCTGGCGCCCTCTTCTGGCCTTCAGGCATACAGACAGACTGTTGTATACATAATAAATAAATAAATAAATAAATAAATAAATAAATAAATAAATAAACATTCAAAAGAAGTTAGAAGCGATCTAGTTAAATCTGAGACTTTCCAGAATTCACACAAGTCAGGACTGGAACTTCATTTAGAAACTTTAAGAGACGGACAGCACCGTCTGACCCCAGGCTCACTTCCCTCTCAGAAGCACTCCCCTTACCTTCCTCCCTGGGCTGTTTCTCTAGTCCTTCCTATTTCGAGTGCATGCAGGTAACAACCCCCCTGTCTTCGGGCATTTCTTCCCCTTTCTCCAGCTTCCTCACGACTAAGCTAACCCTTTCCTCTCCTGTTGCCACCCCAGTTTTACGTTGCACCCCATTTCCCCTCAATATAGACCAGTATTCTATACTACATCCTGTTCCCAGCTTCTCCCTCGTCTTCAGGAGGACGTGTTCCTGGAGCGATGCCCCTGTTTCACCTCCCTGGTCCTGTCTTTCCTGTGTGAGCATCTTTGGGGGCTTTTCACACATTTTACCACAACAGGCACACAGGACAAGATGGCCTTGCAGAGCCTTCTATCTCAGACAGTCTGCACTGTTTGCAGGTTGCCTAACAAAATGGCAATGATGAGAAGGCCCTGCATCTATGCTGTCCAGTTTAGGAGATGCTGGCTGCATGGTTGCATGGCTGCATGGGTGCATGAACAGTGTAAATGTGGAAAGTGCAATCGAGACACTTAAGCTTTTTTTGCTTCTTCCTTTTCTTTTTTCCTGATCCTCTTCTCCCCCCTTTTTGAGATAGGGTTTCACTGTATGGCCAGACTATTTTGGAGTTCTCTATGTCACTGGTTCTCAACCTTCCTAATGCTGAAACCCTTTAATACAGTTCCTCATGTTGTGGTGACCCCCAACCATAAATTATTTCATTATTACTTCATAACTGTAATTTTGCTACTGTTATGAATCATAATGTAGATATCTGATATGCAGAATATCTGATATGTGACCCCTGTGAAAGGGTCATTCAACCCTCAAAGGAGAGTTGCGACCCACAGGTTGAGAACTCCTGCTCTATCCAGTCCAGACTTGGCTTGGCCTCACAGCAATCTTCCTGTCCCAGTCTTCTAGGTAAATGCTGAGATTACATGCATGAACTATCATATTCAGCCTGAGGTTTTGTTCTATTTAATTAGAACTGATTTAAATGTAAACAGTTGTATGTAACTGCAGGGTTCTATAGCAGGTAGACCAGTTATCTGTTAATTCTATACCAGAGTTTCCACAAAAGTGTTTCTAGCTGTTCACTGTTTTAGCAGTTTTTTTCATGAGCCTTCACGACAATGAGGAGCCATACTACCCCCCACCCTTTCTCTTAATGACTCAGCGGGCTTCCTACTTCAGGATACCCAATGCATCTTTTTCCCATGCCCTGCAGCAGAAAGATGGCTGGCTGCCTCTTTGAAGGTGCAAAGATACTTTCTTCTGCTGGATTTCATGTTGTATCGTCTGGTATCATGTTTGTTGTATGCCTGTCTTGCTGCTGGTATTAGTATTACATTGTAAATTCCTCAAGGGTGGAATGATGTATTTCATTCCAGAAGCTTTGTGCAGGCTTCTATCATTCTCTGGGGGATGGAGATATGAAGATGATGATGTCATACACTTGAACATGTCTATGCTAAGTGAACACTGAGGCACTTACTGCAGAATACATGACAAATTTTCTGTACTTCTGTGACTGAGTTGCAGTCTTCATGTTCTTGAGGATTTCACCGACCAGGACACCTTACAGGAGACAAAACCAACAAGAGAGATAAATCACACATAGATTTATATAATGCTTGCGGGCTTCTTGTCTAACCACAACCAAGAGTTCTGTCTGTCGTGAGTTAACAGGCCAGGCAAAAATCTATTTTGCCACATAATCTGCTTCATGCCAGACAGTGTGATTAGGTCTTGTGCAAGCTGGAACTCAGCGGCACATATGACTTACACAGCTTAGAAAAGAAAGTTGAGTGGGCCCCATGCAGCAAAGACTAGTAAATTTATTTGTTCTGTACAAGCTCAGATAGTAAATATTTTAGATTTTGTGAGGCATAGGTTTGCAGCCACCACCCAGTTTTATAGTGGTACTAGGGAAGTACCTCTTTGAAGGTGCAAAGGCAGAACAGAATATATGAGTGTGGCTGTTTTGAAAAGACCTTAGTAGAACCCCCTTTGTAGCCATTTCTGAGACATCAGTCACCAATCCCTTTGCGACTTCTAACTTCAAAGTGTCTTTTCCATTCAGATGAACACCAACTGCCCTTCTTCCAAAGGGCTAGGCAGAAGTGTCATGCTCCATCTATGTCCATCCAAAGGATGCTGATGTTCGTCTTGTACAAGAATGCTATAAAGGTCGGGAGGTCGACACAGCAGGACAGGTTTTCAGGAAGGAAGACTTGTGCAGTGGGGAAAGCTAGATGCACAGGTGTCCACATGGCGTTCACCTCAGCATGGTGCTTAGCATCAGGCTAACACAATACAAAGGCCTCAAAACAATCCTGGAACAGGAAGCCAGACTTTGCCAAGTAGAAGAAAAGGGCTACCACAAAGAAGAAGCAATGGAGAAGATGCAGGCATAGACTAATATTGTATCCATCTTTCATTAAAAGCTGGTTAAATGGAACATAACAGAAACTTCATTTACAAAATCAGGTGTCAGGCTGAATTCAGCCTCTAGACAGTTATTTGCCAGTCCCTAGTCTATGGCGAGAAGAGACAAATGTTCCTGAACCAGACTTGGGGGTTTATTGAGTTTGTGTGGGTACATATTGCTACGCACTGCCATCCACAAAACCAAGTGCAAGACAGAAGTTCCAGCAATGGTTAGGGAACACCGGCCACCATCCAGGTGTTCCTGTGTTGCTGTGCCATGGAGGCAATGGATGCTTTCTACAGGATTGTGTCTGTTTTATCATTCAGTCGCCACGTGATTGACGAGTCTCTCTCACCTAGCCAGGTCAGAACAACAAGCTAAGACAGTGCTTTGTCAAAACCATGCAGGAAGCTGGGCATGGTGGCGCACGCCTTTAATCCCAGCACTTGGCAGGCAGAGGCAGGCAGATGTTCAAGGCTAGTCCAGTCTACCTACGGACTTCAAGGATACCCAGAGCTACACACAATGAGATCCTATCCCCAAACAATAACAACACTCAATAGCAGAAAACTCCATTCGGGGAGCAGTTTTCTGGCTAGTTAAGGGCAATGGACTTGCCCCATAAAACATGTCAGGCTGGTCTTTTTAATCTAAGGCCAGACATCTCATAAGAAGGACTATTCTGTAGAGAATCTAGTTTAACCCTCTCTTCAAATTGAGAACTCATACCATCAGAGAGGAAGTGGCTTCCTTCTGGTGCAATTCTCTATTAGCCCACTAGAATGAACCCTATTTCTAGTCCTATAAACAAGTCCTGACAGCTAGCATTAGAGTTCTGATATAAAGCACATAGAGATTTCATTAAAATGCATATTTTCGCTCTGTAGGTACTGGGCGGGGTCTGAGAGTCCCCTAGCCACTGCTGGGTCTGCTGATGCTTCCCGCTGTACTCTGAACAGAACATTCCTGGACCCACCGTTGATGTGGCTGGAGGAACGAATCTAGGATTCCACCTTCACCTTCTGAAGGGGCTTGGGGCTGAAACATACTGTTGGTGTCTGCTGGACCAGAAGTGAGGCCTGCTGCTTGTATGGCCCATGAGGTCCTCTGCATCCTTTGCTGTGAAACATGCAGGATGGAGCGTCTTCCATACTTCTGTATCCTAGTATTTTCTCAATATATCAGGTTCCATCTAAGACTCCTTTCTGTGATGCACTGCTTTTCCTAGAAGGCTGGGGCCTGCTGTGTTTGCATCCGTGTAGAGGGAAGGCTCGAACATTTTCATTCGGTATGCATCTGTGCCATGCGACTGGGTCTTCTGCCACAGCAGCTAAATAACACCCCGAGATTCTTAATGACCATTGTCCTAAATCGTCAGTCCCAAACTACTTTATTCGTCTCATGCAAGTTTGCTCCTGACCAGCCCGATTTCATCCCTTGTCCACTGTTCTCCTGGTGACAGATGACATGTAGCCTGACTTTTCTAGCTGCCGTCGCCTCTTCTGGCCAATGATTTAAATGCTTTAAATAGTTATCTATTTCCTGAACTGGCCCAGGTCCTCCAAGTCTGGTCTGGTTTCCAGAGCACTTCTTCTCTGTGCATTCTTTAAGTGACTTGTCTTGATCAAGTGTGACCATCTCCTAGTGGCTGAAATCCTGATGTAGTTGTACTACAGTCCTCAGATTGTTTCCAGCATGTCAGACGGACAAACTTTCTTCACCGTGTCCACTGTTAACACAGCTGGGCCTTCTCTTGTTCCCCTCGGTGCTGGTGACTACATTAGGCACACCTGCGCCTGACTCTCCCTGTTTCACGTTTTGGCCCGCTTACATGGATCTCCTTGCAGGCCCCAGTATCTCTCCCATCCTGGCTTCTTTCTTCTCCTTCCCTATCCTAATTGCAAGGACCTAGCATTCCTCTTTCTGCCTTGCCTCTGGGATGGGAGGGTGTCAAAGACTACAAAGTGCCAATCCTAACCATGAAGTGGGGGTCACTGATAAATATCTTGATATCTTTCAGTACCAGTGGAAGAAGTCATATAAACTTGCCAACTGCAGTATCTGTCAAATATTTGCAAAATGTATCAACTTTTGCCAAACTTCACACTTGTAGTGCATCCTAGCAGCTGCTAGGCACAGCCCATTCTCATGGAATGCATACAAAAAATCCTTAACTATTACATCTGGAAGAAATGGAGAGGAACATTTGACTTTAGCTCCAAATTCTCATTCCCAGAATTAAAAATTTCCACCCAGAGTAGGCAACGTCAGTCTCTTATGGCAATGCAGTGTTTATGGATGGTGTGTAGGGTTTCTTCCTGTTTCTTCTCAGCCTCCTTAAACTTAAGTTCGTTCATTTTAGTATTCATGGCCTCATGAGCAGTGCTCTCCTCATATCTGATTTGCAGACTGGAAACTGTAAGACGCTCGAGTGGTCCGTGTGAAGTCACCCAGGGGGTGGGTAGCAGGACTGGAACTCAGACCCAGACTGTCCAAATGCAATGCCAACAGTTTTTTTTTCATTATATATATATATATAAAAACCCCACTCACCTCCCTGGAGTCTAGATTTTTCTTTCTGCTTGTGAATCCCATACAGTGATAGCAGAGATAATTCTGATAACTCTCTCAACTTAGTCATGGCATCCTCGGTGGCCCAGGAGGGCAAGGTGAAGTTGTGAACACTCTGCAGGAACGGGAAAGAAGGGAGACGTGAGCACAGTTGTGATTAGGACTTCCTTGGCCGATTTCCGTTTCCTCTTCGTCCTGTAAGAACAACTCAGGCCAGGCAAGCTTGCTGATCCTGCCATTTCTCTCTAAGAATTTGTGAGCGCCAGCCATGGTTTTCAGTTAGAAGAGCAAAATAAACTAATTTGTCCCTCCCTACAGGCTTTAAGGCTTAACTCTGGCTCAGTTACAGAAAGGGATGCCGTCTCAGGGACAAGGATGCACCTCATTCCTTTTAGAAAGGTTTAGGAATATTGCAATGAACCTTTGAGGGAGGCTGTGCTAGTTAGTTGTTGCCAGCTAGACACAAGCTAGAGTCACCTGGGGAGAGGGACTCTCAGTTGAGGAATGGCCCCTATCAAATTAGCCTTGGGCAGGTCTGTGGAGCATTTTCTTAACTGGTAATTGATGGCAGAGGAGCCACTGTGGGCAGCCCCGTGCCAGCAGATGGTCTTGGCGGGTATAGGAAAGCTGACTTAGTGTAAGTGGAGGGGGCAAAGCAGCAAGTGGCATTCCCCTGTGGTCTCTTTCTAGGACAAAGGCAAAGGGGGTGTGTAGGGCTAGGTGATGTTCCCTAAAAGTCAGGACTTTCACACTAGGCCAGTTATAAAAATCCGTGTATTTCTGGAATCTTCGCAGGTTTACTATGAACCTGGCTGGGGGAACGTCTGTACCTCATGCACAGTGAATACTGGCAAGTGTTTGCTGAATGTCTGACCGAGCTGCAATTAGTAAAGGTACAGACCTTGTGGAGATGTTTTCACCTATTCAGGAGAGTTGATTAGGATCCCCCTAGTTTCAAAAGTGGGAGAAGGTGGGGTGGGGGAGAGGGAGAGAGAGGAAGGGAGAAGGAGAGAAAGAGAAGAGGTTTTAAGAAGAGCAGAGTAAAGGGATGCAGGAGGAAGAGGCAAGCGATGTGACAGTTGCATCAGGTGGCATGGCCTTATTAAAGAATAGCTCAGTTGCTGGGGTAGGACTCAGTGACAAAGCTTGGGGGTAGCTTTATGACTGTGTCCTGGTCTTAATCTCCAGAACAAGCATATGAACAAACAGGAAATGTAGAGAAGAAAAAGAGAAGGAGGAGGAAAAGAGGACGAGGAGAAGAAGGAGGAGGAGGAAGAAGAGAAGAAAGGAGGAGTTGAAGATCTATTGCCAGGACTAAAACGAGGAGCCTTAAACAAATGCTGAAGATCAAGAGGAAATATGGGTGAATGCACGGTGAGGGGGCTGACTGTCATGGAGATGGGCGAACTGGGTGATCTCTCTTCGAGACAGAACTCGGAAGGTGGCTCCTGCCACACACACTCATGATGGACTCCATGTCAGAAGTGGACATGAGGCTTGCAGAGGTCAGAATTCTGCCCCAAGTCACAGGAATAAAAATTACTTCTTTTGGCCAGAAGATGGAGCCCAGTGAACAAAAGGCTTTATCGAGCTACAAGATGATTTCCGTCACACCACACAGGGGAGTTCTTTCCTCAGAAGCCATGGCTGACAGCCTAGCATATAGTTGTCTGACTTGTTTTAATATCCAGAACCTGGCAATTTTTCTCCCCTTTTTATATATAACAGCATTGCCTTTTTCATTAAAACCAATGACAGGAACCTGGCATTCCAGCGTGACTGCACAATGAATGAGCGGCAATGTTTTGAAGAAAAGCAATTTTGTTTGCAATTTTCTAAAGGGCAGAAACGTAAGTAAGGAGAAGAGAGGAGTACAGATTTTCAAGCTTGTATAAGAACAGCTCGAGTTATATTTCAATATCAGAGGCCATATAAAGCAGTACGTTTTTAAAAAGAGAAAGAAGATGGATGAATTTATCTGATCCAATATACATATCAAATCACAAAATAAGATTGCAAATGAATCTTTGATAAGTTCTTTTACCTCACAATACAAAGGGTCGTAAACCTTACTCCAAATTCCAAAGAGATCCTGGCCAGGGAATCCTGACAGCGATGGCAAGGTTTCTATGAAGCTCTGGAACACAAAGAGAAGGAAAATATTTCAAAACTAGGGCCTCTCGTCATCCATAGATTTAGATATCTATTGCAGCAAGATGCAGCGAATGACACTGGCAATGATGATGGTGACTGACATATTTGATGCGAGCTTCTCTTTCAGAGTACACTCAAACTGCAGATATATGCTAGCTTACTGCCGCATGCTCCTGGTTTGTGCTGGGGGCTGAGGGACGCACTCTGCCTGGACTCTTTTAGAAATGGGTGAAGTATAACACATGCAAATTAATGTCTCGAGGCAAGAAGAGCAAGGATGGGCTTGACTATAAAAATGAGATGGGGGTAAATAGGAGTAGGTGTCTGTGTGTGTGTGTTCTTGTGTATAAATGCTATATCTGTTTGTGCAGGCAATGTACTAGACAGTTCTATGTTGTCATAACAAGATACATGTTCAGCTATCGGACTGTGAGGCTGGGAGCCATTTCAAGGTCTTTTGGAAGACAGTTTGATGGATAAATTTTTCTGGAAGACTATTCCTTGCCAATATTAATCTCAACAGACTTCTATCAAATAAACAGAAATAAGTGTTAAAGAGTATTCTATTCGTGGGGCTGGGAGGACAGCTTCATTCCTGGTGCCCGTGTAAAAAGCCACACTTGGTGACACGAGCTTGTAATCATAGAATCAAGGAGATAGAGACTGAGTGAGGGGAGATATAAGGGACGGGGACAGTGGCTGGGTCATCACCTAGTTTGCATTAGACAGCACACTCCTATCATGAGGCTCCTGGTACAAGTCTTAACTAGCATGTGTGAACGCATAGGCTATCATAAAGCTCCTGGCTCAATGTGTAATTACCACTAAGACGTTACCTCGTTTTGAAACGAGGCTGGCTGATGCTACAGTTCACAAAGAAGCTAAAAATATACACATGAAAATCCAGAACACAGAGGAGCCAGGTGTGGTGGCGGCACAGCTTTAATCCCAGCACTTGGGAGGCAGAAGCAGGCAGATCTCTGTGAGTTCGAGGCCAGCCTGGTCTATATATTGAGTTCCAAGACAGCCTGTGTTATGCAGAGAGAATCCTGTCTCAAAACAACAGTGACAACAAAGAAAGAAACAAACAGCTCGGTGGTGGTGGTGGTGGATATGTGTAATCTCAGCACTCAGGAGGGAGGTGAATCTCCATGAGTTCTAAGCCAGCCTAGTCTACAGAATGAGTTCCAGACAGGTTCCAAAGCTACACAGAGAAACCCTGTCTTGAAAATCCAAAGGGGAAAAAAAAAAAGGAAAGGAAAAGATGACAGAAGAATGACAGGTGATCAGCACCTTAGATATTAATAAGTTATAATAAGTCATGGTTTGGCTAATCAGAAGAAGAAATAGAACTTAAATTCTAGAAATGGGCTCCATCTATAAAGAGATTTTAATACATAAGAACTCAAATTAAGATTGAGAGAAAAGATGAACTACTTTACAAAGTGTGATGGAGCAACTGATAGATCTTCTGGACACGAAGTGTTAATAAAAGTAATTGGGGGTGTGGTGGCACACGCCTTTAATCCCAGCACTCAAGAGATAGAGACCAAAAGATCTCTGTGAGTTCGAGGCTAGCCTGGTCTACAGAGTGAGTTCCAGGACAGCCAGGGCTTTACAGAGAAACCCCGTCTCAAACAAACAAAAAACACACACAAAAAAGCAAAATAAATAAATAAATAAACAAATGGGTCAGAAACCTACATTTCCAGTAAATAAATCAAAATAATAATACGTTATATTTATCAATTAAAATACTGCACATTTACAAAAAATTGAAGAAATACTTCACATATAAATATAAAATATTTTCCAGATATTTTGTTAAATAATAAAACTTATTTTAAAAAAAAAGCAGTGGTCAGCCTTGTGATTGGTATAATGCTCCCGTGTAATGGAAGGAAAGCTATCAATCTGAATATGCACCAGAAAACTAAAAGACTACACAGGAAACAACATCACTGTCACTTGTAGGCGGTCATCGAGAGACCACCGTGTCCTATTGTGTTTACTTTGTATGTTTTCTAATTCTTGGACCGTATAGATGTCTAATTAATTCAGATGGTTACTTTCTGAAAATCCAGGTGATCATATCTACCTTTTGTGCCACCCTGAAAAGCAAATATTGCCCCAAAGGGGACAGCATACGCTGTGTATCAAAAGACAGGAGCCTCAGTTTCTCCTCCTCAAAGCAGGCGATTGACACCTGTGTTCACTGTCACTCACTTGTCAAGGACAGAGGTAAAGCACTTGGAAGGGACTTCACATCCCAGTGTACGGAAGGCGACACTACTAACTTTATATGGGCGAAGCCTCTTCTGGAATTCCTCAGATTGTAAAGTCTCGCTCTTGAGTTCTTGAAAACGAGGGCAGTCCCTGAAAGGCAGGTAGAGCAACTGTGGATGAAGAAAACAACGTAAGACCTTGATTAGTCAGACGAGCATTGGCAGATACTCACTGCCAACCTTTTAAGCCTCATTAGGTCTAAAGCAGCCTTGAAAATCCCCTACTGTCCTGTGAGCTGAATAGAAGTTCTAAAATTAGAGGCAATGAGGCAAATGGTCCTTGGGTCTTAACACACTAGGCCATGCTGTAGAAACTGTGATTTACCTAGTTCTCTCTCATGAGCTTGCTGCTGGGGAATATTCTCGGTTGCTCATTTTCCGTGTGGATGACTGTTACCTTGCTTTCTCCCCAGCCCCTTTAATTCTGGCACTAAGTGCACCTCTGTGTGCACCCTCTCTTCCCCAGGAGTGAGGTGAAATAAATTAGAGGTTTGGGGTAGAATCTTAAAGGGATCAGTTCTTCACTGAGTTCATTCTCGCAAATCTGCAGACCGTCAAAATAAGGGTATAAATTAAATGTATGGGTAATAGTATTTAAAATCTAGGAGGAGGACAGAATGATCACTGTGAAATTAGTGTAAGCTTCACAGTCTCTCTCAGCTTTAACTGAAATGCGCAGGCTGCCGACTCACAAATTTGTTATAAGGCTCTTTTTCACCTGGTCTGTTTTTGCAGCCCTTGATAGCACTGTTCAAAGGGCCGCTCTTTGAGCCCTGATATTCTGAAGTTTCATTTGTATAAAGCTGAGGTCAGCTTCATCTTCAATCATTTCCTTTTCCTAATGTCTTTCCTCCTGCCCACGATAAAGTTAAAAAGCTGTTCTGTGGGCACTCACACTAGAGCTGGTCTACTTTCAGCTTAGATCTAACACAGATCCCTTCCTTCCTCTTCGTCGTCTCTCCTGGTCTGGACCGGTGTAACCTGCCTCAGTCTCTGTCCATGCCTCCTAGCAGGTCAGTGGCTGTCCACTCCTCTGACTGTACAGTCCATTCTCCTCACAGCAGCCTCACCATCTCTAAGGGCACCCCAAAGATCAAACTGTTTTTGTAGGTCTTGACTTCCACAGACTTTTTATTTTACCTGGAATCAAATGCAAACTTGCCTTCTAAGAGTCTAAGTGAGATGAGCAGAAAGTAACAGTAAGTGCTTGGCCTGCTCCCCCCACCCCCTTCTTCCATCTCACTTTCTCTGTACAGAAATACTGGGGACCCTCTTCTGTGAGTGCTCCGCCTTAGGTTCCTAAGTCACTCCGCTCCAGCCGCTACAGCAACTCACTTCCTTCTTCCAAGGAACTTATCACAATCCGAGAGCGTTTTATTGGTGTTCTTTATTGTCTATAAGATAGCAATCTCAAGTGAACTAGGCTCTTCTCTGTCACACTCATGGACCGTATTGTCAACAACCAGAACAAGGGTGGTGTATTAGCTGCTGCTCAGAAGGCTTTTATATGGCTTCCTGTCTGTCCTTTCTGACTCTGTATGCCACCTGGTTTTACCTTTGCTTCCTTCCTTTTTTATGAGCATGTAATCTCCGACCTTCATTTCTGCATCCCTGAATTACATCAGCAACATTCTCTGAGGCTCCCACATCTTCCCTTTCTGAGCGCCGTCAGCACAGTGACTAACCCACCCCTCAATCACATGCAAGCAATACCGAGGAATGTGCGTTTTCATCTCACAGCTGGACTCTGTGAGGACCTGCATCCCTGCCCTGGGCGGCCTCCTCTCTGAACTCCTTCGGTAAATGCAGCTTGTGTTAAAATCATTGCCTATCATCTTGTACTGTGTCGTGTGGCTGATGCATGCTCAATTTCTCTCATCAAACAAATCTTAAGTTAGGGATGAAGTTTGGTCTTATCACTCAACACTAGGGAGTAACCTAGTGTTCTCTAAGAAAATTTTGCTTGCCTTAATGAAAAGGTAGCTGGAATCTATGGATAGATAATTTGTCTGTTTCTCGCTCCATCTCCCTCGCTCTCTGTTCCTTTTTTCATCTTCCAGTGAGCACCAGTGTCTATTGTGTAATGTGATTACCTTCTGTCTGGATTACAGATGGACTAGTTTCTTTGCTTCACTTTGGCTATGCTTAATATTGCGTTTCAGGCTTCATCTCTGCAGAAAAGGGTGTGGCAAACATAACTGTCTTTTCTTTTTGGAAAGTATTGTTCACAGACATTGGTAATAAATGCTTCCATTCCAATCTGTGAAGGTAAGGCTATCAATACATCATCCTAGCTTTTCAGAAAACATCAGAAAAATGGTTGCAGTAGATTAAACTTGAGTGAGGTTGGCAGAGGGAGGGCTGTTGCTACAGAGCATTTTGAAAAACTCTACAAAGCATGTATGAAAAATTCATACTGCCATTAAGTCAAGTTTCTAGCAGTGTTGCCAGGGCAGGGAGGAGAATGGTGTATCCCAGAAGTCCCTGGGAAAAGCTTCCGGTCAATGCTAATGCAGAGTGGGAGATGTTGCTGTGATTTGGAGAAGTCCCGTGTTGGGAAGTTGGTCTCCTGTGAGGCTATGTTGAGAGGTTGACCCTGTGAGAAGTGACTGCGTCCCAAGTGCCCTGCCCTTGGGAATGGATTAGTGGCTCTCTATGGGTGGGAGGGAGTTGGTTATAAAAGCTAACTTTCTTGGATATACTTCTCCGCCTCACCCTCTGACATCCCCTGGCAGGTCATGACCAGCAAGAGGACCCCACTCCAGATTCTAAACAGATGTTGGTGTCATGCCTTGGACCTCAGGTCTTCCAAGTGTGAGCTGAATGAACCTCTGTTTATTTAAATAAATGGCCCAGTCTGGAATGCTCAGTTATAAAAACACAAAATGGCCAAGCTAACAATACAGGTCAGGGAAATTGAGCAATAATTCTCTGTTCCAAACGGTTTCCTTTATATTCCCTTACATTCTACATTGGAAGGTTATATTTATTTATTCATATTTTCTAGACACCAGTTCCTTTGAAAAGGTTCGATTTCTTGGTCAACTCACCCTGTCTGAGTTAAGCTGAATTTCTCTCAAATGGTTCTATTTCGGCAACTTGGTGTATGGTGCTGCATCCCAAACTTGGATGCTCATAAAATAATTTAGGAAAGTTATATTTTAAAATACTGATGTTGGGACTGAAAAGATGGTGCAACAATTAAGAGCACTTGCTGTTCTTCTATAGGACCAGGGTTTGGTTCCCAGTACCCACATGGCAGCTCACAACCATCTGTATCCAGTTCCATATCCAACTCCCTCTTCTGGCTTCCAAGGGCACCTGGCACACACATGGGGCACAGACATACATGTAGGCAAAACACTCCTACATGTATAATGAAATAAAAATAATTAAAAATATACTGATGTACAGGCCCTACACTCAGAGATTGACTTGAGGAGTGTCCCTAGTCATCAGGCATCCTGAAACCTCTCAAGGTGGCTCTCACGGGCAGCTGAGTCTAAGAACCACCGTTTCACAGGGAAGAAGACGCCTTGAATGGGAGCCCAGGACTGACTGTTGTTTACGAGCAGTGAGGCATTGGGCGAAGTTTGTTATTTTACCTCTCTGAGTGCCTTATTTCGTTTGACCCAGAATGCAAATTTTTAATGAGAAAGGAGTGTTTGGTGGGCAGGGAGATCTTTGGATATTTAGGGGAGATGAGGAACCTATGTTGGGCACTAAAATCATGGGGACTGAAGACAGAACACTAGGAAGTGTGTGTGTGTGTGTGTGTGTGTGTGTGTGTGTGTGTGTAGCCACACATGTGTAGAAGGAGGAAGGGAAATTAATAAAAGCTGAAATGATAGTCAAGCAAAAATGAACCCAAATTACAACTCAGCTCCTAGCCTTGGTTGTCTGGATCTTTTCATGCCCTGTGTATCCATCATACTGAATCTGTAAATCCCTAGCAGCCTGACTTCCTCCTACTGAATTACATAGGATACTGACCCGATCTTCAGAGAGAGCCACTGTGTGCACTGGGATGGGCTGCCAGGGCAGGCTGGGATTCCAGATGCTGATCCCCTCTGGGGGAAACAGGGCTGCAAGGTTTGTCATAGCACTCATCAAAGTCCGGTCAACATCTGTGCTCCGAATATAAACCTAGAGGGGGATAAATCAAAGCAGATGGAAAATCAGAGGAAACTCGAAGCTTTCTTTCTGTGGACCTGCCAGGGTGTTAGGGAAAGAGCGGAAACACAGGATATCAGCAGGTTCTGTGGGAACATCATAATCACATCTGTCAGGGGATTGGATAGTACCGTGAAAATACAATGGGACAAAGCAGTCCGTAGGCCAATAGTTGAATTGATCAACGACACTAAGCCAAAGTATTTGCACAGGTACCTATAAAAACTTGAACTAAGACTATTTAGGGCAAAATAGTCCCATAAGGAGGAAAACATTTGTGAACAAGATCTCTGATGTATATAAGTTCTTCAGAAAATAGGCAAAGGTATAAGTTCTTCATACACATGAAGAATTATTTTTTTTTCCAAGGGTCAAGTTTCAAAGTCCTGGTTCCCCAACTTGCCTGGTCATGTTTATAGGAATCGTTCAAGAATCTTCCGTATCTTCTCCTTATATAACTTCCAAGTTCATAATGCTGTTCCATGCCCCGCTATGGAGAAGAAAAGTGAAGGTTAGGGAAAGGTATGTGTTATCATAGAACATGTCTTTCCTCATTGTGCGTGGCGTGAACACGATGTGCCTATCAGTTCCACAATAAAATCTCCTATCTGAACTAAGGCAGAAGAGGGCAGTCACCTTAGTCAGGATGTCCTGAGAATACTCCTCCATCGTTGTTAGCACACAATGAAGAGGCTGTGTATAATATGTATTTAGCTGATAATTGGCAACTTATCTAGGTAAATGGCCCGTTTGAGGTGTGGTGGGATTCCCTATGGGCAGAACATTCAAAGTGATTGGTTCATCACATCCTAGGGGGGTTTTGAGAACAAAATCCAATTGTCTAATGAAGTTGAGCTTGCTGAATCTGAAGGTCCCTTTAAACCTTGCAGTGAACAGATTTATTATATCCACAGTCTATCTATGGCTGGCTCATAAAAAAAATAGAGCTTGGTACTACTCAAAGTGTGGTCAGAGATCAGCAGGGTTGGCATCATTTGGGAGCATGTTATAAATCAAATTCTTGGGCCCTACTCTTGATGAATTGAGCAAGAGAAACTTTGGGAGCACTGGGCAGTAGTGGTGCAGTGCTTTTAATCCCAGCACTTGGGAAACAGAGGCAGGTAGATTTCTGTGAGTGAGAGACCAGCCTGGTGTACAAAATGAGTAACTTTGGAAGAGGGGCTCAGAAATCTTTTAAAAGGTTTATTTTATTATTTTATGTATATGAGTATTTTGCCTGAATGTGTGTCTATGTAACACATGTGCCTGGTGCCCACAGAGGTCATAAGAGGGCATCAGAACCCCTGGAGTTACAGACGGTTGTTAAGACATCATGTAGGTCCTGGAAATTGAATCTGAATGATCTCCTAGAACAAGTACTCTTAACCACTGCGTGATCTCTCCAGCCCCAGGAATCTGTTTTTAACCATCTCTCTTAGAAAGCCCAGTGGATCATTGAGATCAGCCCTAACTCACGCTCCTTGAGCATGGTGTGCATTAAAACAAAGGATCCAGATACACCTGTTGAAACTCAGATTCATCAGCATCTCCCCCCATAGATTCTAGCTCTCTGCATCTGAAACGTGGCTTTGGAACCTGTTTTAGCAAGGACCCCCAAATGATTCAGGTGTGCCAGGCTTAGAGGAGCATTGTATTGTGGTTTGTTGTTAATCCAGAGCCTCACCAGAGATTTACAAATCAGGGAAAATGTAGTCTCTCCTCAAATATGAGGATGGCTGTTGCGAAGGACAGCATACCATGGCCCGAGTAGCTGAAGATGTGGGTACTTTGGGTCCAATTATCTTCTAGCCTACAGCTGAGTTTTGGAATCTGATTGCTACTTAAGAGACTTCTATGTGTGAATCCAGACCTCATGGTCCTCAAAAATCTTTTAGTCTCACTAGAAAATTAGAGCAAGAAAACAGGACTCCTGTGCTAAGAAAACAATATATGAGCCTTTGTAATATTCTCTCGTTAGATAGAAAGATGGCTAGGCCATGGTTGGAAGGGCTCTGACCTTCTGAAGCAATAGATACTGGCTTTCCCATGACTTCTCTGAGCTATAATGTCTACAAAACCTGATGGCTGGTTAGGGCCGTGAGTCTCAGCTCTGGCTGCACATTAAAATAAAGCAATCAGTTGAGGAGCATCTAAACATCCTAATTCCCAGGCCATGCCCTATGCCAATTAAATAAGACATCATTGCTATTTTTAACATGTTTCTAATAGACAATCTCCATGGAAACCTCTCACACTTAAATGCAGTCAGCAGGATAAATGCATCAAAGTGGAAAATTCTGTACATATTTCTCCTTTACTCAAAAATTACCCAAAGCTGTGGCTCGTACTTGAAATCTCTGCACTTGGGAGGAAGGAGTTTGAAGTCATTCCTAGCTATGTAGGGAGTTCAAGGCCAGCCTGTATATGAAACCCTGCCTCAAAAAATAAAAAGCAACAATAAAAGAGATCAAACTAACCTGGGTGAGTTGACCAAATCCTTGTGGCCATGAGGATTCCTTAATGGGGTCGTTAGGAAAGGTATCGATGGGACTTCGGTCTCCATGCCGAAATACCTAAGGAAAGATGTGGGACAACAACATTACAAAGTTCACTTGAGTGTCTTGCCTCTACTTGTCATAATACAATTTCTTAAACCATGGCTGCTACCATGTTTATGCTCTGGAATCACCTGGAGAGTTCTAGAAAATTCTAATGACAAAGTGCCCCCTCTCCTGGGATCTTAGTTTCATTAGTTGGGCTTATGACTAAAGGGTGTAAGTCTTCTAAAATTCTGTCCAATGAAACTCAGGTGAAGAACCACCAACATTTTCTTGTGCTTGAGAAAATTATACGATCAAGATGATTGGCCATTGGAAAGTGAATGATATATGCATGAAGATAGAGTTATGTATCTAAGATGAAAGACAGACGCATGAACATACAAGATCACTTGGTGCAGACAGACTGATTAGAAATATTCTTCTCTTAATTACTAAGAACAACAATGCTCTTAAAATTTCACACATAATAAAAACAGTAGTTTTGTAATGACACCCTCACTTGGGAATACTTTGGCTCAGAGATTAGTTAGTTTTTGGAGGTTAGGGGCACACGAATTACAGATTGGGAGATTAGGAAAGCCGGATCTCAGCACTTTAATAACAGGCTTCTTAGATCTGGATACATGCCATGCTATTTGTACTGCACATTTGTTTTTGAAGAGAGACGTTTGGACTTCCGAAACCTCAGTACTTTGATTCTAAAATAGTAGCATGCCAGACCAAACTCAGTGCTATTTTATAATCAAAACATAAAAAAGGAACCTACTCAAGAAGGACAAGATGAGGTCTTACATGGATGCAGAAAATATTTAATAACATACAGGATAGTTGTTGAACACTTCATTTGATCTGAGCTCACCTTTGCTGGTCACTTGAATTACCTACTGGGAGACCCCACTGTAAGTAAGCAAGGATGCTGTGTTTCTGAATACCTACAGCACCGTTCAGTAGACACCAAGGAAGGAACAGCCTCAAACTTGAGTTATCTTCAGGAAGGAATTCTAGAATAGCAAGGAAGGCTTCTAAGACCAATGCTATGACTCTGGTATCTGAATAAAGTGATTCTTTGTTGCCCTAAACCAGTGGGAAATTAAAAGCCCAGCAAGACAGCCTACAGAACACAGAGGGGAACAGGGCAGAGGGTGGTAAGAGGCCCTCTCGGGGGAAGGTAAGGAAATAGAGCTTGAAGCTTCCCTTTCCAGCAGGAAGAACAGCCACCAATATTAGCCATTAGTGACTCTGTTTCCACAAGCAGGTGCATCTTAGACTGCTTGGATCTGTGATCACTATGCAGCAAACCTTCCCAGATAGGAGGAACAAAAGCTTTGGCACACTTTCCCAGGTTACTAGCCTCATATTGATTTCTCACGGTTTTTCAATCTTATCACAGTACATTTTCAGAGGTAGATAATTCTCCACTGTAGGAAGCTGCCTTATGGACAATTTAGTAGGCCCTTGGCCTTTTGTATTTCCTTGTTACAACAATTGCAAAGACCAAACACCTCACCACTGAGTTAGCCAGGGAGAAATCCGATAATAAGCATTTTACTGAAACAATGAACAACTTTTTCTACCAGAGCACAACCCTTCCTCCCAGCACCCAACTACAACAATCCTTTCTGTTTTTTTCCATTCTTGCTCTGCCTTGAGGAGTTGCTAAGTGCTTTTGTGTTTAATTCTCTTGACCAGTTCTGCAACATAGCCATTATTATGATATACACTTCACAGCTCATCTTAGATAAGTAATGAGTCTAAATTCTCAAGCAGGTAAGTAGAACTAACCAGGCATTGGCCATGTATCTTTCACTAAAGTGTCTTCCTTTGGATCTCTCTCTCTCTCTTTCTGTGTGTGTGTGTGTGTGTGTGTGTGTGTGTGTGTATGTGTGTAGTGTAAAAAATACATTATTAGCGTCAGGAGTTTCCACAGAACTAGTGATGATTGCAACAGGAAGAGACCGGAGACCACGAGAACTCTCAATCTCACATTCCTCTATGCTTTATAGAACTCTCTGCTATCTCTTGTGATTGCTTTAAAAGGGGTCTCCCTCTGCATACCCTGATCTAATCCAGGCTGGTTTGGATTTGCCGTGGTCCTCCTGCTTCAGCCTCCCAAACAGTGGGATTGCAGGTGTGATCCACCACACCTGGATTTCCTGGCCACTCTTACCATGTTAGTCCTTCCTATCCATGAGCATGGGAGATGTTTATCTTCTGATAGCTTCAATTTCTTTCTACCATACTAGTTTCTCACTTGCTCGGCTAGAGTTACACCAAAGATATTTTATATTATTTGTGGCTATTGTGAAAGGTATCATTTCTCTGACTTCTTTCCTCAGCCCGTTTATCATTTGTATATGGGAGGGCTACTGATTTTTTTTGAGTTAATTTTATATACAGCCACTTCACTGAAGATGTTTATCAGCTTTAGGAGTTGCCTGGTAGAAATTTTGAGTTAGTTAATTAATACTATCATATGATCTGCAAATAATAATACTTTTTTTTTAAATAAGGAATTCCTATGAGCCCACTACTGGCTCCTAAGATCAGTCTGTATATAGTTAGTATTTAACTTGCAACCTTATCACTTTTAGAAATATCATATTTTATTGCTCTTTGTAACAAATTCAAAGTCCTTATAAGAGCTCTTCCCTGCCCCTTAAACCCTACCTGATCAGGTCCCTCCCGCTGGCCCAACTCCAGTGCCTTTGCCCAGTGTGACTTTATCTGCTTTGAATGCCCAGTGCTTGCTGCTTCTCAGGACTCTCTCTCTCTCTCTCTCTCTCTCTCTCTCTCTCTCTCTCTCTCTCTCTCTCTCTCTCTCTCTCTCTCTCTTTCTCTCTCAACATGAAAGTAGCCCTTTTATAACTTCAACCGTTTCTTACTGTTTTGTTTCCATCTCTAATATTTTCTGGTTGTGTTCTTTAGAGATTTTAAAAAAAATATTACCTGGCTCTTCTCTTTCATACTAGTTAGTTTTCTCATTGCTGTGACAAAATACTTGACAATAACACTTAAGGAAAGGAAGGAAGGCTTTTACTCTGGCTCTGGGTTTGGATATGATCTGTTATAGCAAGGAGGGCATGGTATTGGGAATGCAAAACAGATGGTCACATTGCATATGTAGTCAAGAAGCATAGCCAGGGAGGGGAATTCTGGTGGTCAGTCAGATTTCTCTTGTTTAAAACCCTCCATTTTATCCAGTCTAGGACCCTGGGCCCTAGGATGAACTGGCATTCAGAGTGTGTCTTCCCTCCTCAGTGACACCTCTCAGGATATACTCTTAGACATGCCCAAGAAGTGTCTCTAGGTGATGGCAGAGCAAGTCAAGTTGATACTGCAACTTCCTAAGAAGTCCTTGGAAGCAGAACCCCTGTGGAAACGGCCACTACCTAGAACACAATAACACACTAAAGGCCTGTCTGGATAAGCAAATGGACCCTGGGTTGGGCCTCCTTCCTCCAGGCTTCATCTTTCTATCCCTCTGGTGTCACAAGAGCTTCTGATTTTCATTGTCACGTAACAAGAAGCTATGCTGTGCCATCCTGTTTTCTTCCTTCCTCCCTTGCCCTCAACTTCCCCTTCTATCATGCCAATTTCTGCCTTTGATTCAGAACAGTGAGTCTTGCCTTGGGCTATGCTGGAGTTTCAACAAGCCACCTGTTGTCCTTTCCAGTTTAGAACTCTAGATAGCAGAAAAACCTTGGGATGTCTTTGGATCCAAACTCCAGTGCCCACACTCACAGCCATCTCCCCAGTCCTATCTTCTCCTTTCAAGGAACTAAGAAATAAACCTATTGGCAGATAATCAGAACATAAGACAGTTTGGGCAGAAACGATGATTGTCGTAGATGAACACCATAAAAGGTAAGAGGGAGAGCCAGCTGTAAAGAGTCAGTATGCAGTTACATCCTGCCCTGGCCACGAGGAAGATGTGCGAGGCCTAAGCAAGATCTTTCTCCAGGGCCCAGGAAGAGCAAGAGGCCCACAGGAAAGGGAAGTGGTGCAAACCGCGTGTTGCGTTGTGCACAAGCTGTAAACAGAAAGCTCTGCTATCCTGGTTACCTAGGCCATGTTTCAGGCCCCAGTGTTGTCAACCACTGCCCCAGAGTCCCTGAGTAAATGTCTGAACTCAAAGTTCTGCGTGTCTCGGGTTCTCTTTCCAGGTAACAACAAAATCATTTTTGATCACTCGAGAGCAACATGAGAACTGCATGTGTAATAGTATATGTGTAAAGTAGTATGTGTGAGTACTGATACACAGGGTACATTCGGTCCACAGTATTTCTTATTATGTTTGTTACTAATGTTATTCACACCCACAAATGTCCTGTGTGCTTCCTTTCCTGTTGAAGGTGGTTTGTAGCATCCAGGGCATATTCCGTTGAGCAAAGGAAAACAGCCCTCTCTTTCAAGGAACACCTCTATTAATATCTAATCATCTCCCCGACCTAAGAGTCATGTTGCTTTTGCCTTTGGATTTGGGCCACCCTGCAAACTTGACTTTTCTCGATTGGCAACCTAAAAGGTTTTGAGCCTGATACATTCTCTCTAATGAGTGCAGTGTCTGAAATTTGCAAAATGTGTGAACAGGCAAGTGGGAAGAAGTTCCTGAGCTTGCAAGCTTAGACTGACTCCTGCCTGGCCGACACCAGTTCTTAGGACCATCAGCTTCCAACACCCATGTCTGCAGAACGTGCTGGTTGCCAGAGACATTTGCTGCTCCTGGGCACTCAAGACTAGGGAGCCACACAGTGAGGGAGAAAGAGCTGGAGGCTGTTTGTGAGCAAAAGAACCACTTTTTCTTTTCTAGCGGGGCATTTTCTGTAGTAGCTCTCTTTACAATCCAGAGTAGGATTTATTGAATGCCGGGCCATTAAAGACAAGGTCTAGGTCAAAACAAAACGAAACAACAACAGCAATAACTTGACCCTCATGTGACACTAATATGCCTTTTGGGTAATTTGGAAGACTGAGTGTGAAAAGTCAGGTGCCTGGCGTCTGGTAGATGTTTA